AATAAATATTTGGAGAAAAATATGTCTTTTTATTATAATTATTTATATATTTTATTTTAATTATAATTGTGCCGAAAGAAATAGATTTATTTTTTATATTATATATTTGTTAATTATTAATTATTGTATTTTATTATAATTATTTGGATTAAAAGAAATATGTTTACTTGATATATTACTTATTTATAAGTTTTAATATTTGAAGGAAAGAAAAAGATAATCATGGTTAGATTATTTTTACTAAAGGGTTAAGTGTTTCAAAAGGAGTCACAATTTTCTATTTTTACGCTTCTCATTTTCTATCATTCTAAAGAATGGAAATGAGAATCAGAACTTGTAGGAGAACACTGCAGAGATCTACGTCTTTCATCAAGTGTTCATCATGGTAAGTGGGGGTGAGTAGTGTCACTTTAGGCGTGTTAGGTAGTGAGGTTGGTCACAATCCTTTATCTATTGCTTGTATTGTATGAAGGAGTTTCCCCAAATGATTTCTTTATGTGTTTTTTGATCTTTCATATGATTCTTTATTGTTCTATTTGATGTGGTGTAGTTGTATATGTCTCTAATTTCATGATTAAATATATAATTGTGAAATTTGGATTACCTATGGCTTCTCGTGAAAATCCTATTATTGTGTGAGTAGTTAATAAGAGTATGTAATTAGAATATGAAATTGATATTATATTTATGTAACTAATGGTATAATAGAGTAGTATTAGACTTTAATATAACTTTTACCAATTGGATTGAGAGAAAAGAGTCTGGGTGTGAGTTGTGCCTTGTTTTGAGAATTCTTGTAAGAACATACATTGATATTCATGTGATTTCTGTATGTGTGATTAATGAAATTGAGTTCTGATTGTTGGGTTAGAAAGTAAACATTTGGGACTATAATTTAGACTTAAGAATCACATAAAAATGTTAAGGAATGACCGAGTTATGTGAGTTAAGAGATGAACCTCACATTCTATGCATGAAATGTAACAAGTGTACATTGTAAGCCTTACTCATAGACTACTTTAGTGTATTGCTAACAATAATGCACAAGTGTGATATGTGATATTTTTAATGGCGCCACATGTATGATAACATGTAGTCCGTGTTCATTGCATATGCATTATAATCTTATCTATTGTTGCTTACTATGAATGAGTTAAATATGATGATGTGTAACTGTGTATGTTATATCATGTTATATGTGTTGTTTGTGTTTGATTAATCGGTTTGTATTCCTACACCATGAGGTAGAGTGAGATGTTTCCCACTCCCTTTTCTTTTGTGTTGTTTGTGATTTTTTTTAGGTAATCATCAACATGGTGTTGGGGATATTGGTGATGAGGCCTAGTCTTCAATATTGGTTCGCTTGGATAAGACATGTGATATTGGGGAGTAGTTAGAACTAGTTAAGATTTGATTCATGCTATTTTATTTCCTTTGTAATTTATTATTTATGTTAAATTTAGTTTATGTTAAAATGTGATGCTTTCTTTCTATATAAATTTTGATTTTATTATTTTTTTATTCCAGTTTACAATATAAAATGTTGTTATGTACGACGAATAGAGGGTGTCACACATGAAATTTTAAAAAATAATTATATTCTCATATTTTTTAGAAATAGATTTTTTAAATTGAATTATTAAGGAAGTAAAAAGTAACTTTTAAATTATAAAATATTAAAAAAATTATATAATATTAATATAAAATAATTTTTTTAAAAAACATAAAGTGAAGACTTTGTTAATCTGCCCTTGAAGCTGACACTGATTATAAAAATAGTCTACTAAATCCTCTCTAGAGTTTCTAGCAACTGTTAATAGGGATTTTAGACCTTATTTATTTAATATAATAAAATGCATTATTTTTATTTATTGAAATTGTGTGTTTATTTATTATTTATATAAAATATATATTTACATTTTAGAATTTTTATATATAAAAGGTCTTATTTATTATTTTTTTTGGTTGGTTCCATAAATTTCAAGACTGACCTTAATTGTTTGGGCTATTTTAATTTTTTTTAATGAAAATGATTACTTTTAAAATTAAATTAAACTGAAAATAGAAATATGTAACTAAAACACATTTTTAATTTTTCATCCTTTTATTTAGTTTTAATTTGACTTGATCTCTTAATTTTAGAAAATTAGTATTTTAGTTTATGTATTATATATATTAAATTTTCATTATATATAACTAAAGTTTATAATAAGTTATATATATATAAATTATATTTTAAATTTATAATAAATAATTTATATTATAGTATAAGATTATTCTTTAATCATAATTTATTTTAAATATTAAAAATTAATTCATAAATAAATATATTAAATTTAATAAATATAAATAAATTAAATAAACTTTCTAAAAATAAATTAGCCCACCAAAAACAAAAGCACTTCAAGAGATTAAATTAAAAAATAAAAAATATTTTAATAAAAATATATTTAAGTTATCTATCTATCTATCCGGAAATCTAGATAATGTTCAGTTGCAGGCGATTGTGTTGTATTGTCGCTACTCATTGGGCCAGATCAAGTAGGGCCCACAGTGTCTTAGCAAGCCCAACATCCCAATGGACCCAACCCAACCCCATATCCACCACTCCGCGAGCGAGCCATTGCAGATTACACAAGAGAGAGAGAGAGAGTGTGTGTTGTTTCGTTCCATTTCCATGGCGAATGGATAGCGTAAGCGAAGAACCCTCGCCCAGAACAACAATCCTCGAAAAATGCTTCGGACTCACATTCACGTTTTCTCTTCCTTCGCCGCTCCACTCCATCATTCCTCGCGCGTCCGTTCCTCTTCTCTTCCGACACGGCGTCGTTTGGCGAGGACCGCCACCACGACTCACGAGGCCAATCTCAAGCACCTCACTTCGCGCATTGTGCAGCTCACTCGCCGAAAGCAGCTTCGCCAGGTGAGAGAGTGTTTGGAGAGAGGAGAAGAGCGAATGCGGATTGCGTTTTGATTTGATTTCTTGTGTTGTGTGGAATGTTTTCGGTTCAGATTTTGGACGAGGTTGAAGCTGCGAAGAGGCATTTCGGGAAGCTTAACACGATAGTGATGAACGCGGTGATGGAGGCTTGTGTGCGTTGCGGTGACATCGATTCGGCGCTCAGGATTTTCGATGAGATGAAGAAGCGCGATGCTTGCGGTGTGGATACTGTCTCCTATGCCACGCTTTTGAAGGTATTGCTATTAATGTTTATACTTTTTCGCATTTCCTTTTATCATTCCAAAGTTTGCATTTCTTTTCTGTTTGTTCGTTATGACACTGTTAGTTTAATACATCATTTGGTTCTCCAACGTTTTAGGACTTTTCAATTAGGTGCCTAATTTTAAGAATTTTATAGTTAAGTATTTTATTTTATTTTTATTATATTATTGTAATTTAGTCCTTAGAATGTTTGTTTACAATCCATGAAAGTTTACAAAATATTCTTGATACTTATGCACTAAATAATAATCTCATATGGTTGTCTAGGTATGCAGATTTTCATGGTTTGTAAATGAATTTTTAATCATAGAGACAAAATACTAAATCACAAAAAGACGAAAGGCCTAATTTCGAATTTTTTTAGTTTAGGGATCTAATTAAAAATTTCTTAAAAGTCCAGGGGACAGAATGATGTATTAAATTTCTAAATTGATGTATTAAGATATGATACTAAATAATAATCTAATATGGTTGTCTAGGTATGGAGATATTAAGAATATTTTGTGAAGTTTCATGGTTTTGTAAATGAATTTTTAATCACAGGGACTAAATTACATAAATATAAAAAGACAAAAGACCTAATTACAAATATTTTTAGCCCAGGGACCTAATTGAAAATTTCTGAAAAGTATAGCAACTAAATAATGTGTTAAATTTTTTTTTTTAATTAAGTATTCTGGTTGTAGAAATGATGAAGTAACTGAATGATATACTGTAATTAAGGTATGTTTGAATGAAGTAAAAGTAAGATAACTTAAGTGTTTTATTTCAGGTAAAATATTTCATTTTTAATTTAAGGAGTTCTCTATTAGATTCCAGTTGACATGTGATAAGTCAAAGATAGAAAAATTTTATGAAAAAGAAAATACTCCAGTTTCTTTTTTCTGTCCACTTAAGTTAGGAGGATAACATACAGGTTTAGGAATGTAACTAATATTAAGAATATTTCTTTTTTATTTATGGTAAGTGTGAAAAGTATTTAAATATTAGCATAAATAAGCATTAAGGACATAAATGGGAAGATAGTAATTAATATTGTTTGAACTTCTTAGTGGACTTATAAATAGAAATGAAATTTTCTTTCAAAGTGGATTGATAGAAGAAAGAAACAGAGGATATTTATTTATTGAAAATACGAAAGAGATTTGATGTCTGTTTATTAATAGACGTGTTCATGCTTTAGGTTCAGCATAAAAACTAAAACTAGAAATAAGGTTTGATACGGTACTAAACTGGTTATAAGTTATAACTGAAGACAACCTCCTAAAAATTAATTGTGATTAGAATTTAAAATTCAAACCAATCCAGTGATCATTTTTCTGTGACTGTGTTGGAGACAAATGTAGGAGATCACCAAAAGGGTTCGAATGAGATCAGATTTGAGATTTGGTTCTATGGATGAGATTAGGCTTATTGCTTTGGGATTTAGGATTCCTAATTTCCTACTTAAGGATTCAGTTCTTAGGATGAAGATGATTGATATGAGTTGAATTGCTTTCTGATTCGGAATTGAGTGTATTTCTGACTGAGTCTGAGATTTAGTGTTTATTTTATCTCATTGTTCTTTAAGTTGGCTTCATTTGCTGAACCAAAAGCAGACAGTTGCGGTTAATGAACTGCTTTAAAGTTTAAACCAAACAGTTTGGTTAGTGAACTTATTAAAAGGTTTGGATCTTTTGTAGTAGAAATGTAGAATTGGATTTGGTTTGCAATCTGGATCGGTTCAATTTGGTTTGCTGAGTTGAATTGCTTTTCTGATTCACAATCGAGTGTGTTTCTGACTGAGTCTGAGATTTAGTGTTTATTTTATCTCATTGTTCTTTAAGTTGGCTTCATTTGCTGAACCTAAAGCAGACAGTTCTGGTAATGAACTGCTTTAAAGTTTAAACCAAACAGTTTGGTTAGTGAACTTATTAAAAGGTTTGAATCTTTTGTAGTAGAAATGTAGAATTGGATTTGGTTTGCAATCCGGATCGGTTCAATTTGGTTTGCTGAACAAGCATTTGATGTGGTATATTTAATGCATTCACACTATGTCTACATGGACACCTAATAGACAACCCCTTAATTAAAATATTCTCTTATGTGAGGATATTTTGAAATGAAAGGATTCTTTCATTTATCACTTAGTTTTATAATCCTTTTATAAAATTCATTTAGCTGCTCCTTTCCTTTTCCTCTAAACCCCTCCAAATGTACCCTTTTAGTCTTACTGATAGTCTCAATTCTTTTAATCAAACAACTCAATTGTCATGCTCTTTAATTGTGTGTTCTTTCTGAGCTTGATTGAAATTTTATTTTACATGCTATATAAAGGGGTTAGGTGAGGCACGAAGAGTTGATGAGGCTTTTGAATTGCTTGAAACTGTGGAAAATGGCACTGCTGCAGGAAGCCCAAACTTGTCAGCTCCATTGATCTTGGGTCTGCTAAATGCCTTAATTAAAACAGGTTAGTCAGAAATCTAACTGATTTTCTGGAACGGTATATAAATTTAGCATATGGACAATGGACATTGGTATTTACTATTTATCCTGATGGGTGTTACTGGAATTGTTGTTATTGACTTATTGATCTCTGCTCTTTGCCTCAGCATGAAGTCGTTCTACTTTTGAGAACTTCTAGCCTTTGAAAGTATATGTTTCTTATTTTCTTGTGCACGAAAATTTTGCTTTTGGTGTTTGGTATATACTACAGTATTGCATGCTTGACAGAATTTTTGTTGATTTTCAATTTTGTAGTGCTAATTGTTTGTTTTTTTTGGTTTGAGACTATCAAGATATTTTTAAAACTTCATGTTGACTGGTGATGTTTTACTTGCAATGCTATAGTGCAGGAGACTTGCGTCGTGCAAATGGTCTCCTTGCCCGTTATGGTTTTGTGCTTCGTGAAGGTGGCAATTTTTCAGTCTCAGTATACAACATACTAATGAAGGTTTTGCTCTGATTCATAATCTTGAAAGAGAGAAAACTTCATTATGAATAACATGTTGCAGTAGTAGGAACTACAAATATTAGTCATAATGGAATTTAATCTTGAATGCTTCCTTTTTCCAAAATTTAGGGCTACATAAACTCAGGCTGTCCACACACTGCAATAAACATGCTCAATGAAATTTTACGTCAAGGCATAATGCCTGACAGGCTCACATATAACACACTAATTTTAGCATGTGTCGAGAGTAAAAAGTTGGACGTTGCAATGCAATTTTTTGAGGAAATGAAGGTAATTGGGATTATTTGAAATTTAAGTTAAATCTTTGGTTGAGAAATATAAAAAGTGTTTTGAATTTTCAATCTTTGATATTTTTAGGGCAAAGCACAGAAATTCGTCAATAATGATCTGTTTCCAGATATTGTTACATATACAACAATGCTTAAGGTCAGTTCAAATTTATCAGTTCAAATTTTGCTTTAATCTGTAGAAGTTTTTGATGGGTAGTATCCATTGTTGTTTTCAATCAGCTTCCACTGATTTCAGTTACTTTCAGTTGTTTTATTTTAATGGATATTTATGTTCACTTATAAATAGTCACGTAACTGATATGCTTTATATATTTGTTTTAGTTTTGGCCTATTATAAACCCTATTGCTGTTTGGGTGTGGGAGGGCTCTTCTCAGTATCTCTCCCTCTTTTTAATGCAGGGTTTTGCACAGGAAAAGGATCTTGCTTCAGTTCTGAAAATAGTGCTGGAAATGAAATCTTATCGGGAATTATACATCGATAGAACTGCTTACACAGCAATAATTGACGCTTTACTAAAATGTGGCTCAGTTAAAGGTATGCTGTCATTTGTTAGAGTTTCTTTAGTTGTGTAGTGATAGTTTCAGGAATGAGTACAAAGTTAAATGTTTATAGTAGTTCCTTTTCCATGGACAGGTGGAGTAAGATATTTGTAATCGTAAGGAGAGCTAATAATTGAAATTATGCCTATGTAATTAATGGATTCTCCTTGTCTCTTGAATTGAAGGGTCAAATAATATTCTACTTCTGTTATTCTTCATTAAATTGTGAGGAAAAAATGTAACTTACAGTTGTGTTTACTGGGGTCACATGTATTCACTAGGATAAGTCAGACTTGTAGGCAACTGAAGCACAAAGCCACTTAAAAATTAAAGCATTCTCCTTTATATGTATGTAATATGTATCTAGCACAAAGAAAAATTAATTAAATTGCAAACAAAAGAAAAAGAAAAAGCTGCTGTTTTTCTAAATATTTGTGATGTATTGGCCACTGCTGCTTGCTGAATGAATTTCAACTGCAAGTTTGTTCTGTACTGTCTGAGATGATTCCATTCTTCTCCCTTATAAAAGAAATACCTATTATTTGGATGGGAGGAAGTAGAGTGGAAGCAGAGATAGGGCGGAAATATGGTTTTTCTATTGTTTTGGAAGGAAAAAGAGAGAAATTTTATGGTGTGGTTCTCACCATTTTTTCTCTCCTAACTAACATGGAGAGAATTTTCTCATTTCTTTACTTTTGTGAGCCACTTACAACTTTTTAAATTTTTATCATCCATTTCTCCCATTCTCCCCTACACAGGGAAAAACTGTATATACGTATCCTCTATTTCTTTCTATTCACTCTTTCACTCATCAAAACAATGCATAGAGAAATTTCCCATTTTTATCCATCCAAATAATACATCTTCACTACATGTGTCTCTTATTTTCTTTCCTGCATTCAAACAAAGGGTTACTCTTTGTGCTTGTGCCCCATCCTTTTGTTTCTTTAAATAATTGATGATTTTCCATTATGTTCTTTTTCTAATTAAATAATCTTTGGGATTTAGATGCTCTGTGTATTTTTGGAGAGATACTGAAGCAGGCTGGTCTGAATCCGGAGTTGAGGCCAAAGCCTCATCTCTACCTTTCCATGATGCGTGCCTTTGCTTTTCTGGGAGATTATGATCTTGTTAAAAATTTTCATAAACGGATTTGGCCAGATTCAGCAGGAACCATATTATTAGTTGCTCAAGAAGAAGCTGATCACCTTCTCATGGAAGCAGCACTGAATGCTGGCCAGGTATTCCCACCCTTACTATTAGTCATTGACATTAAGGCTGAAAAGTTTTTTTTGGTTTTCCCTTGTTAGTTATAATTATTTTATTACGTAAAGAGAAAGGATCTAGGGAGAAAACCTTTAAAAAGGAGGCGGAGTGCATTAATACAACATTTATTGCAGTAGAAGTGATAGTATGAGTACAGCTAATAAAACCATATCTAGTAGACAGTTTTATCAATGATGTATGTGGATGGCATTGTGTCAAATGGTGGAAATATGGTGGTTATATTAAAAAATAAAATATGTACAAGAAATGCAAAAATAATCTGCTGAATATAAATAATGAGATTAATAACTTATATCACGAACAATAAAATTATAGAAAAATCTACTAGGAAATAAAATTCACCAAAAGGTGTAAAACAATATACTATAATAAATACAGATGGATGTGGTAACTACCATCTGAACACTCTCCTCTTCAATTGGGCATATAAATCATATGTATTGAGCTTGTTATAAATGTAGTGAGAACTCCACAGCAAATATTATAGATTTGTCAATTTGGGCCTGGGTTGTCAGGTTGATCCGTTCAACATGGCAATTTTTTGATAAATCAACGAACTCGTTATAAAACCCTGGCTTGCTTAACTACCTTCATAGTTTGCAATAAATCAACGAACTTGGCTAGCTTTTCACTAAACCTAATTTTTTGATCCTTGCATGGCTTGACAATATGTTTTGGTTCAAGTGGGCTGGGTTGGCCTATCTGACGAGTCTTGTAGTTGGTTGTTTCAATTGAATAAAATTAGTAGTCATGCATCAAGACATTCAAATGAAATGGTAACCAACTCAATAGTTTAGTCTTTTCATGAAAGATCAAGTTGGAGCAATGTACAGAGATGCTTGATTGTTGCATTATCCGCTGCATTTGTTTTATTCCTCCAAACTTTAATTCTTGAACCTGAAGCAGTTGACTCAGCCATGATCCATGAGTTCACCCCTTTCTAATGCTATCGCAGCTTAGTGTTATGTGTTTGCACTTGACTTGGAAACGTCATCCTTTTTTTTACTTTTACATAATACTAGGCTCACCCCCCTATAAGAACACATTGCTTTCATCGATGCTAGGTTGCCCCCAATAAGAAAACATTACACTGAAAATGAGCATTAGCAAGAGACCAGACCCAACCCAATCTGCATCTGTAAAGTGAACCACTTACTATGTCCTGTATTCTGAATGTTCCTTTGTCATTTTTGAGAATTGAGGATATGATGGTCATATAGTTGAATTTCCCCACAACTCTCTAGTATCACCTAGGTTATGTTAGTCACTCTTCCTGTACAAGCATAAACTAAGCTTAGATCTGGTGCGACAGCCATGGATTACAGGTTGTATAATAAAAGAGGAATTCAGTTGCTGAAGATGAAGCAAAACCACATAAAAAGGAAGATTCCAACAGGTCAAACATACTGAGTCCAACTGTCCAAGAAACACATCAGCATAATGAGCTGCAGGAGAAACTAGGATCATTATACCTAGCAATTGATATTATGTAAAGGGAGAGAATCTAGAGAGAAAATTGTGTTAATATACAAGTGGGAGAAATTCACCTGCATGGGGTCATTTGGAAACAGATTACCGGTTTGGTATAGTTTCTACTTTCAAAATGTTTTATCCTAATGGGAAAGCTTTGTAATGTTGGAAAATGTCTCCCTTCCCCCCGCCCCCCTCTCCCATGTAAGCAAATGTGGCATTTTGTTGAATTGCAGAACTCACGAGAGTACATTTATCAACCATGCAAAACTGCAGCTCCAAAACCACTTTGAATTTATATCCTGTAGAACATATAATAAGGCCTTGTTTCGCACAGTGATCTGGCTTGCACTCGTCAGGCACGCTTCATGTGCTGGGGTTGAGTCTTGATATAAGATGTTTTTCACTTTGTTTTCTTTTAATTTCATTTCTAGTGCATCAATTTGTTTTGAAAAAGAAAGACAAAATGTTTCAGTTGGGTTTTGAGCCTGAAACCTTGAAGTTAGACCGTTAAACTTAAACCATATAATTTGCTTCACACTTTCAAAGTTCCTTGACACAATATTTGTTTAAATGTTTTTGGCATAAATATAATTAAACCATGTTGGTGAGGTGATTCTGAATTGCCTTTTGAAGGGGTGCACATACTTTCCTAAATAGTGATGGCGGATTTAAGTTATGGACAAAGCAAGGGAGAGATGTTTCCCTTGATAAGATATACTTGATGAGTTAAGCCTTCTCCATGACCATGGAAATGGCCATAATAAGTAGATAATCCAAGAAAAGTATAAGCAAAATGTAGGGTGACTTCGGATTTAGAAGAGTCACGCTTATAATTTTTAAACCCATCCCTATTCCTGCAAAGGGTTACTCTT